TTTCCATCCTTGGCAGGATGCATAGGAATGGAAGACTGTCACGTAACTCATTCCCTTCGGACAATAACAAAAACAATTCATATTCACATCAAAGGTAAAGACCGGATTCTTCAAAGATGAAATGAACTTCTGCAAAAACAAACAAAACTTGTTTCCTTTGGGAACAGTCACAAACACATGTTTCTTCCTTCTCAACTGCCACTCAATTACATTACAACATAGCAACCAAATAGAAGCTCTGTTCTGTTTGGGAGAAGGGTTGTTGATCACTATACAGTGGGGCTGCAATCTCTCCAGTTGCTGCCAAATACCATCTTGACCCTTCATAGTGGAAAAGTTGTATCCTGCCTTGAAATCCATAGGAGATGCAACTTTAACACCATTCTTTGAAAGGAACCAAGCTAATCCACTGTTTCCATGAAGTAACTCAACAACATCAGGATGATCATCATTACAGAAGAAAAAGGACTGTTCTCCGAATTCGGCATCAACATACAGTTCGTGATCTTCACGTAAGTTCTCCGGATTCTCATCGTCTAATGCCGGTATGGAAACATCATGCCACTCATCGTGATCACGTCTAACCTTTGACTGATTCACACGTACTACTGCCTTACCAGTGTTGGCTTGGACCATAGCTCCTTCTTGTCCAAGTACTGTGGCACGAACCCAACGTCCTTTATCCTTGAACTTTGATGAATCCTGAGTCCAAATAAAAACCTTCTCACCTTGGAAATATGGACCGTCACTTGGCATAGTCCTTCTTGCAAGATCTGCTCGAAGGTCCTGAGCTTGTCGTGCTTCTTGATGAGCTCTCAAAGCCACACGTTGTAGTTCCAAATTTGTACGATCTTGTGCGGCGGCATTAGCTGACAATTGCTCAGGGCTTGCGCTCTCAAGGTCAAAAAGATCTGGTGGACGTCTTCCAGTTGCTATCTCTATTGGTGAATATCCACTGATAGTCAACTGACAATTTCTTGCCCAAACTACCTTCTTGACCACTTCTCTGACCGTAACACCACGAAAACGTGGGTCATCCAGATCTACCTTCATAACATGCCACATACGTTTGAACAAACGTACAGCTGTCTCTGCTCGGTTCGGCCAAGGAGTTCTTGGCCCACAAGGACATTGTTGTATACCATGGAACCTGTAGTATTCAACAAAAGCATCGGTGAAAAAGGCTTCGTCTCCTACGATGGCCTTCGGAACACAGTTGTTCTCATCCGACCACTGCCTCAATGCTTGGATGGTGGTTTGATCTATGAGGTCTTTCTGCGCCGTAGCCCAGAGAAGATTTGTGGCACCATCAAGAACAAGTAAGATGATATACTTGTTCTTGTGAAGTTCAACCTCACAATGATCAGCAAAAACAACATCACCAAAACATGAAGCTCTAATACCGGAGACTCTGGCTCGTGGCGGAGGTGCCACTGAAGTGTTACAAACACGGCAGTTCCTGACAACTGATTCATACTTCTCTAAAACAGAGTCAGGAAGCTTCAACATAGAAACACGTCTACGAAACTGAGTAGGACTCATATGGTAGTGCTTCACATGAAGCTTATAAAGCTCTACCTTGTCCTCCAGTCTCTGCAACATCTTCCTATATGCCGGTGTCATTGCAACAACTTCACTACCAGGTAATGGGATTGAAATCCGCCTAGGCTCAAGAGCGCCATCACCTGGTTCAAGTGGTTCATGTTTATCACTTGATGGTCCTTTTGATGCTTTAGGAATTTCTACAAGTTCACCTTCTGGCCTCTCAGGTGGTTCTGAGGGAGCATACTCCTCAAGATCATCACCCTTTAAATCATTCTGAGGCTCAGATGGTTTCGACTTGTGTCCCTTCCAAAATGGATCAAAACCCTTGGAAGTATACCGAAACTTTGGCGGCACGGGCTTTTCCGCGGCACTGGATGGTGCACCTTCCTTCTCTGAAGAGAAGCCTGGTTCCCTGTCCTTTGCAATGGGAACCTTCTCTGAGGAGGAGCGCACCACTGCATCGGGATCACCAATGCCACGGTGCTCAATGCCAGCCTTCCTGATCTTTAGATCTGGAATTTTGGCATCTGGCTTGAACTTAAAAATTGTTCTACCACGCGATTCATAGCCAATTTGTAGGTCCTTCCATTTTGCCTTGCGCCAATCATCTTGCTTCTTGATTTCCTTTCCACCTTCTTTCTTCTTGATGATTGTCAGTCGCAAGTCTTCCAGTAAGTCAGTGTCTACAGGACAGGACTTAGTTGCTGGAAAAAGAATCTTTCTATAATCCTTGTGGTGACGTATCAGTTCTCTCTTGTGAACATCTACTTCCCAGTAGTCAACCACAGGATATGCATGTTCAGCTACATCTTCATCACTATTGTGATCAACAGAAATATGACCATATTCATAGTGAGTGAAGTGAGAGTAAAAACTCTTCTCGCGCCGAGTCTGCAAATTCACGTCAGACAGATACCATGCAATATCTTGGAAGTCCAAGACAAGATGAGTACTGGCTGCAACCTTCAACTCCAAATATTTGATACCAAGAGGCACCGATGTCAGATAAGCATGTTGAGGTGTCAGCCTGAGTTCAAAGCCTAAGTTCCTCATCTGTGGCAAGCTCATAAGCAAAGGGACTTCTCCTTCTTCCACTATGTCGAACTCTGTATGGTGGATCGTCCATGCACGATCATACATGTAAATCACCAGTTTCTGAGAGCAAGTAGCCTTCTGGGAATTGGCAAGGTAAAACTTGCTCTTGGTAGCCTCAAAAGAGTACCATAATCCACAATCTGGGTGATTGTCGACATAGTTGCAAAAATGGTCGACTGCCCGCCTTGATCCCATAGCTCTAGTGCATCCAATGTCCAGGATTGCAATAGTCGGCGGGAAGCGATTCTCAGTCAAAAATGAAATGGCCTGCATCTCCTTCACTTCTTCCTCAGCGCTCATAAGCGCAAAGCCATCAGGAGCCTTTGTGAGCATCTCCTTTGACAAAGAGTACCTCACAGGGGCACTCATGCCATTGAAGATCGTCTCACCATTGTTGACCGCGCAGTCAGCTTCATCTTGACATGAGGTCATCATGCCTGACAGCAAGTTCACCTCACTGTCATGGACTTCAGCTGCTGCTGTCACACAATGTGCAAAGAAACCTTGTTGACCTCCTGATGCTTGTGAAGATCTTGAAGGTGCAGGCAAAGAACGTGGCTGTTGTTGATTTGCATAGTTTGCATCTTGTTTGCCATCTCCTTTATCTTTTCCTTTTCCTTTCTTGCCTTTTCTCTTGCCTTTTCCTTTTCCTTTGTGGGAAAACCATGCTTCTTCAAGCTGTTGCCAAAAGTCATTGGCATCATCATATTCTCCTTGAAGATAGTCATTCATATCTTCGGCAAGAATGGCATCATATGCTACTTGGTTTGACTCCCAAGTGTCCTCATAAGGATTCTCTTCATAATACTCATCTGGAAAAGTTGTCTGTTGCTCATCAGCAAAATGGCCTTTACCTCGTCTCTTTCCTTTTCCTTTTCCACGAGGTCTGAAAAATCTGCGGCCTGATCTTCCTTTACCTTTTCCTTTTCTTCTTCCTTTTCCTTTGCCTTTTCTGGCTCTTCTTCCTTGGAATCTCCTTTGGAACCACGAGAAGTTTTGATCATCATATACCCAAAAGACATCGTCCAGGGCATCTAAAAATCCTTCTGTTCCATCTTCTTCATCTTCGGCCCAATAGCCAAATGTACCATCGAGTTCTCCTTCGTCTAGTACGAGAAATGATCTTCTACCTCCAGCACCTGTCGGCTGCATCAAAGGATTGTCTACTGAAGTCTTTGTCGTGCAGAACATCTCGATGAACACTGTCCTCAACTCTGTTGTAGTGTATTGCTGCAGGACCCTGCCACGATGAGTCATCAAAGAAGTCAAAGTGTTTCGCTGGTCCTGAGACAAATCTGCAAGTGACAGCATGAGTAAGGCAATGAGATTCTCTCCTAAAGGAAAATCGTTCTGATGAAGAATTCTCATATTGCCATTGACATTCTGCATGATTTCCTGAATTCTTTCTGCTGTTGGTGCTACTCCAGTCAACGCTGCATCTGCCTGCATCTGAGCTAGGACCTGTGGATGTGCTTGAGTGACTGGTTCTAACATGTCCATCCAACTGCTCATAAGCCTTTGGAGTAAAATCTGGAATCTTGTCATCCATTTCATCATGTCAGCTGATCCTCGATTGAAGCGCACGAATTGCATAAACCTGTATAGGAATACATTGGTTGATCCTTTCACAAAATATGGTCGTAGTACTCTCTTGAAGTAATCTACTCCAGCTCCTGGTGGCTCATTAGCCTTCAATGCATCTCTGTCTAAAACTCGCTTGTATACAGCTGCTTCTCCTTCTAGTCGGTTTCTCAATGCTGGTCCTCTCTTCTCATCCTCCAGCTCGGTGATATCACACCAATCGTCTATGGCATCCTCATAGGAAAACCATGAAGTCTTTCCATCATAAGATGGCGGCACCTTTGTAGTGACCTGTGTTGTCATTGCTATTGCTGCTGGTTCTCTTCTCACATGCCTATTCACGTAGGCTGCTGGCTCATAAGCCACATCCGCATCAGGCTCTTCCCAGTCGTCAATCCAATCCATGGCCGTTTGCCCACAAGCAATTCTATGCCTAGGAAAGGAGCTCACCTGGGTCTTCCAGGATCACTGCTCCGCTACCACTGAAAGAGTGACTAGGGCGTACACGGTAGAGGTGCAGACCGCTAGTGTCTTTTATGCGCAGAGTCTTATCCTCTTGCTCTTTGAGCCTTGAAGCAGTCAAGTATGGACACACTATATCGGCTGTTGGAGTGGAACCCTGTACAGGTAGGCTCTACTTTTCAGGGGGGGGGGGGGTCCATAAGATTGATTTAATCAATTATTTGAGGTTTCTGAGGTGCGTCCACCCCATCACTTAACTTGCTAAAGCAAGAGCAACTCCAGCTAGCTAAGGCTAGCTTTCGTGATAAATCTCGGGCCTCCCTCCTCGGAAGTAGCACCACCTTCCAGAAAGCAGAACGATTTCATTCCAGCATGGACAATCGTGCCGACACAGACTACGCTCAGAATACCATCTAGAGGAACACCTGCCAAGCGACCTCAGGAAGTGCTGTACAACCTCCATCTCCAGAAGCAAGCCCAAAAGGGCAACTGGAAGTCCAGCGCAGAATGCCACTACCAGTGCTGTGGCAAGCGCGAAGATAATCTGCATCCGAAAGGGCAGGAAAAGAAGCTCATCGAGCACCTGAATGTCATGACGAAGTTGCTACATCGGCTTCGTGCGTCCTCTTTATGTTCGGACCATGACCATGGGTTAATTTTTAGACTACTGTAGACGCGTTTGAGTTTGTATCGGTATTGCTGCAACTGTGAAAGGTATCGCTCCAAGCACTGTGATGTACATCCATGTCGACAAAACTCAACTGAGTCCTAATTACGGCCCAGGCACCCACTGCCAAGTCGGCTGACCAGGGACCTTAAGAGCTTCAACCAAGCCGCCCCAAGGCCACATTCAACTACGACTTTATACTTTATAATTTTTTGGAACTGCACCCAGGTTCATGGAGACGAATGGAGATCTGTAGATAACTGTGCATGGAATGCCTAGTGTGCGGCTTCTTGTACGCCTCAAGGCCTGAAGAATGTGACTTGTGCAGCTGGGGTTCCCCTTGCGGAGAAGCGCTGAGAACTTCAAAACCGATATCCTGCACATCTGACCTTGGGTCATGACTGAGTTGTTGAACTGGGAAGAGAATTCAATGTGGAATTGCCTCCAGTCCAGTCTGTGTGGTGCACAAAAAGGTGTGCCGAGATGAAGACCAAAGCTTCAAGAGATGCAGGCGGCAGGCAGCCCTTGCTGCCCCCAAATAGCACTTCACATACTCCTCCGCATCTGCCAGAACTTCTGGCAGGCTTGGCGTTGGATGCCTGAAACTTTGTGACAAACTCTCCTGGTGAACAGTTTTGAACCATCGGAAGTATGGTACGCACTGAGGTCCTGCCTCCAGCAGAGCGTCAGAAGCAAGCAGCCCAGAGGCAAGAATACAGCTAGCAAAAGCCAAAGTCTTTTTCGCGGCCGGCGGGGGTGCAAGAAACTTGTTTGCTCTGCTGTGTGCCCGAGATCTTCTAAGTCCTTCTGCAAAACACTCAGCAAACGATGTCCTCGGAGTCCCAGTTCAGAAATGTGACAATCAAAGTTCTAGGGAAAAACCTTTCAATGGCGTCAACACACTTTGTGCATGCTTTGCATGGCTTTTAAGTAATGTGTTTGGACTTGACAAGACGAAGGTCAGGGCCTCTTTAAAAGCGACGATGTTCAAGGGGCCTCTTTGTTCTAGAAAACATTTATGAAAGCCAGGCATCGAGTCCCACGTTCCACAGTGGTCAGAAAACGGTTGAGCCGCTCAAGCCTTCTCTCTCGTGAGACCGATTGAAATTGCTCCTGTGAACCGTAGAGCTGGTCTTGATGCGGTGCAAAGGGGCACGACCTGCAATGGCAAAAATCTGGAGGAGCTCACTTAGTGGGCTGACAAAACACAACAGTACTTTGATGTACTTTGATGAACTTTGCACGTTTTTTGATGGTTTCAGTCTCTAGTCCTTTAAGTAAGGACGCTACTAGGGGCTCCTGGCCTTACTACTAGGAGCAAGAAGCTACTAGGGGCTCCTGGCATTGCTACTAGGAACCAGGACGCTACTGGGGGCTACTCAATTGGAACCGTCTGCGGCCTCACATGATCATGCGCAACTGTTTGATTCTCACAGGACTTGCCACACCAAGCACAAAGTCCAGCATGACATCGGCTACAGCGCAGGGCAAAGCATCCGTCAAAGTCCACAAAGGCTTGACCGCAAGCTTGGCATTTGAAGGTGAGAATGTCCTGAAGCGGCCATTTTGGATTAGCCTAGTTTCTGTGTTCTTGCATTCGATAACCGTCTTTGGTTCACGTATGCCTATTCTGGTTTCTTGCAGGCACCTCCACCACATGTCGTCGTAGGAGCTCAACCCATTCAGTGGTGGTGTCAAATGCTGTGCTTGCTAGTGCTTCAGCCTCGACCACCTTAAACATCGCCTCAGAGACAAAGAAACTCCAACTAACAAGAAACTCCAACTTACAATCAGGCTTGTGCGGTTCGGATGCTGGTTGAATATGTTGAATTCAAAGTCTGAACAGTCATTGGAACTTGCATCGCTGCAGCCTTGTCACCTGCAGGTACCTGAGGTGTCTGTCAGCATTATCACAACTCTTGCATGTTAGCAGCTAGCTACAGCTACAAGGTTCTGGAAATCAAAAACATACCAACAGCTTGACTTCCTTGCCACCAATGTTGCGCATCAAAGCTGGCATGTGTCAAATGAGCGGCTAGAGCCTGGTGTGAATACGGAGCGCAGTTGCAGGATGGCACAGGACATTGAATACGGCCTTCCCGTCTTCTCCTCGAATGGAAACGAATCCCCGATCGAGGACCAAACACATGTGCCATGTGCATCCATGTGCCGCCCACGCAAATCAGCGTCAAGAGTCTGTGTGTAGACTGCCGCTTGGGCACAGCTCTGTGCCAGGCTTTGCAGGCAGCCGTCACAAACGAAGTGTGGCTCCTGAGCCAACAGCTCAAGGTTGCAAACAACACGCCTGAATTGGTATTGGACGGGCGAACGAACCCAAGTGCTGACAGCGCTGACTACGGTCCCATTTGCATTCTTTCCAAGATGCGCTGCCATTGCAAAAAATACCCTCGTCTTCATCAAAGAGATCGAAGCAAATGCAGCATGATTGCTCCGACGCGCTTCCATTGGCTGCGTCCATCGCGCGTGCATGTGAACAAAGTACAAGCAACAACTGCCTTGGGCATGCAAAAGACTTAAACATGTACTTGCAACTGGTACAATTGCTAGCTGCTAGCTGGCAGCTCTCAGTGGCTTACAGGCACAGAATCGAGCCGACTTCAGCGAGGGTTGTGCATTGATTATTACATTCATATATCATATATCTATATATATATATTCATACGGCAAACTGCTTGCAACCCACACCAGCTTGCAAACTCGCTTTTGACTCCAGTGCATGCTTTCAGTGCCCCCAAATCGCAATCAATCAAATCTCAGGTCTTGGTGACCTTGTCCACCACCTTTGAGAGCTTTCGACAGGCAAGATTGAACAAGCAAGTGACTGACTGGGCCCCAACATGCTGGATGTAAATAACTATGTCCACTCCACATGCATTCCCACGCATTCGTTCATACTCAGGCCCAGCCACATGCCCGGAACTTGTGTGCAGCATTTTGCAGCTGAGTTGCCTGTTTGTAGGCAAGGCTTCCAGAGGCAGGTAAACCAGCGACTTTGCAAATCTCCTTGGCTTTATGGCACTTCGGTGAATTCTACAGCACATTCGTGTTCTGTCCTCGAATTCTTGTGGGGTCAGCTTTTCCCCGAGACTGGTCACCTTGGCAAGGAAATGTGCTGCAGTGGCCAAACAAGAACAATACTAGCAACTGGATCGGGGAAACTCCCGGAGCGGTAAAGGATTGATTGAATTGATTGATTCCATCGCTAATTAGTAGGTTAGAGGCTATTCCTATTAAGTCGGAGGCCATTGCTAATAGGTTTTGGTATCGCACTTTCGTCCTTCAATGTCAACTCTGGTCACCTAATCCAGTGTTGAGACCCAGCCAGGAGCACGGAGTGGCAGAGTCTCAGCCCGTCACAATGTGTCTCAACTCTTTCATGTCCACATTCCCTGATCCGGTTGGGTCAAAGACCTGGAATGCCTTCAGCGCCAGTTAACTCTTGCAAGTCCAGCAGCTTTAAGGTTACAGAAAGTCTCTTGACAATTCATCACAAATTCTAGCGACTCCAGCCTGTAGTAGTGTTTGTGCCTCACGGTGCGAATTTCTGAATGCAATCACAACTGTGGAACCAAGCTGTTGAGAGTTGATATTGCAACTGAACTTTCTGGCTACATCTGGCTGCTAGCCGTTCTAACCGCCCGCCTGTTTCTCAGGGGCCCGAGGTCTTTTGGCCACAAGACCTTTGAACTTCTCCCAGGACACATCGCCGCCCACCTCGTCCTGCAGGCATTCTGACCTTCTAGGGTACTATGCCGGCCTCCTAGTATGTGCATGCGAGTCCAGGAAAGACATTTCGCTCCCAGCATGTCATGCAATTTTAAAACGAAGAAAACTCTACAGGTTTGGAGAGCCTCAGGACCATTACCTATTGAAACTTCCGGCCCTAAATGATCCTAAATGCATTACCTCAAAATTCCGGCAGCAATCGTCACTGACCAAGCTGTTAACACTCTCCATTTTACCCAAGTGTCGGACACTGAAACATGTATCCTCCCCCACTTGCAAACAACTGTCTATGAAACCAATCCAGCAGCAAAAATTCCCGTCCCGTGGTAATTCGAAACTTGGCCAAAGTCTCCTTCATTTCTGAGACTTCCTTCTGAGTGAGAACGAGGCCAAGAGATCTAAGTGCTTCCCCAAGCTCTGCTGCCTCGGCACTCTATTCGGACTTGAAGATCAATGCAAGCCTATCTGATCAAACATCAAGCATATCTTAAAATATTGTTGCCATGTGGGACCGCCATGCCAGTCCCAGTTGTTTTTGCATGCGGGACCCAACGAACACTACAAATATCGATGTTGTTGTTGATAGAACATCAATTCTGAACACCACCACTTGGTATGGGCATATCTAGTCCAGGCGCCTGTATCTTTCCATCAGAATCCTTGAAACAGAATCAAATTCAAAACTGGAAACAATAGTTGAACAGTACGCTAATCCCTCTCCTGCCCTTTTCTTGTCCAAACAAGGTTTGGATGTCAGCATGGTCCTTGTCAAACAGGTCGAAGCATTCTTTCCATTCGGCTTCAGCCATCGCCTTATTGTCTGGATGAGATGCATTGCCCCTTCAGCCTTTGGATGGTTAAGTGGCAAGCGGAAGGACAAAGCTGAGAGGATCAAATTGCTCAGAGACTCTGAGCTAAGGATCTGGCGGGTTTGAGGTTGTCTTCTCTGCAGTTCAATGACAATACTTCTGGGTTCTCATATATCTTTTTAAAATAGATTATGTGTTACCATGTTGTTTTCATATTCTATCTTGTACTCAGGGCCGGCCAACTTGAGCCAGAAGCTGCAACTTGTTTTGTGCACAAAGTGGCCAACATTGTATAGCATGTTAAAAAGGATCTCGCAAATGCAAGGAACGCAAGCAAATATCTGATAATATTTGTAATTAATGGGCCTTCTTCTTGGCTGCTTCACGGCGCTTGTTCTCGTAGCCTTTGTCAATGGCCCAAACCAACTCCTGAGAGTGTGTGATCTACACAAACCAGCAATTGAAGAAAATACGTTTGCACATGGCACCCCGCATTGACTGCAAAGTAGTCAGCAAAAGGCAGCATGGGCAAAGCAAACGTAGCTGCATTCATTTCCGAATCCTGGCGAATACCAGTCGGGCCCGAATGTCTTGCAAGGATTTCACGAGCCTGACACGTGCATGGCATCTTCATTGGGACAATGCATTAAATGGCGAGAAACCAACTTCGGTGGAAGTGTCAGGCGTTACTTTGCCAAATGTGTCTGGGATGTGCACTGTCAACGTTCCCGCTTCTGCTGCTTGGCGAAGCTTTGTAAGTGCCGGATCCTGGACAAGTCCACAGCTAGCTTGAAACTCTGATGGAAAGGCGCTTCCCTGCAAGAACATTCAGCAAGCTTAACAGGAACATGCTTCAGCCTACATCTTCAACTCAAGAATGTTTGTCTTGCATCTTGGGCAGTCCGGATCTGGAAGCTCATGGACCTGTGCACGAGCAAGTCGAATCAAATCTGGAATGCTGGAAGTCCCAGCTGGGAATTATCATGAAATCTATATAATGAATATGAATATGAACGACTATATTATGCTATATTCATTAATCAACAATGACTCAACGACAAACATGGTTCTGTCAGTGCCACTCAAAGGCAATCGAAGCGCCTCCACTTCAGACTCGCTTTCTTCGACTTCCTAGCAATGTAAGCATGAACAATATACTCCAACATATGGCTTGTTGACGTGCCTCCTCCTTTTCTTCCTCCTCTGGCTCGACCTGAACCGTCGTCCTGGAGAAAGTCTGACTATGACCATCTATGACCCATCTGAACGACAATCGTTGGAAATTCCCCACGGCAGCTGCAGAGCAAAAAGGACGTGATCTTGTGCCTTGAAAGGCGCCACGCCTGCGCTGCTCAGGATTTGAGGTGTTCATGATCTGTGTGCAAAATCGAGCGCTTGCTTGTACCATCCTGCTATGACGTGAACCATCAGCTGAGGCCAAAACATAGATACCACCAACAGCGCCACCGATACAAATTGTGGTTCCCATCACCTCAGTGCAGAAAGGCTGGTTCAAAATCAAGCGACAGAGACACACTTGGTTGTGGGCAATTGCAACCAGTGCTGGCAAACTCAGCCATTCCTCTTCCTCTTTCGGTGGTGGAGGAGGAGTGGTCGTCGGTGGGGGTGCCTCCGACAGCAATTTGAATGTAAATCTATGGAAACAAAACCATGTGCAAAACAGTGCATGCTAAGGCCCACCTCTCGAACAACTCTGTAGTAGGCGGCAAAGTAGCCATAGCTCTGGGTAGTTTGACAAGTCCTCGTTTGGATTGGTTTGGACCCAAGCAGGCTGGCTTTGCAGTCTCCAAGTGCCAAGCATTTGCGTCGACGTGTTCGTAACCACATCTTTGGAAGAAACTCCAACTTCGGACCTTGCAAGCTCAGGACCTCCTCCAATTTTCCAAGTTCGCACTGCATCGAGGCTCCAGCCATGCTCCGAGACCTGAAATGGCACATTGCGCAGTGCAAAAACCTAATGAACATTCTACAATGAAGGCTGAGCTCTATGCCCTCGTTGAATACCGCGCACCGGTGTTCCACAATATAGCCTCTACCACACAATGGACCCAATAATTAAAACTAAAGGTGCTGATGCTTCTACAAGCAATCAGGAACTCAGAAACAAACCAGAATGAACACCCTGAGGTTGGTCGATGCTGAAGTCCATTTCCACAGGCCGTGATAATCCTGCAATTAACCAACCAATTCGTTGTTTCAACCCATGGATGTGAGACTCCATTGACATGGAAAACCCGCACTTTGTTCCTTGCACGCGCGCAGGCTCCCCACAATGGCGCAAGATCAGGCCCTTGGGAAACACGTAGTTCTCGAAAAAAAAAAAACTGAGTGGTGGCCATTGGGTAACCGTCTCCGCTCTCCAAGTTCTAAGTGCCTTGATGGAGCTATTGGGGAGCAGAAGGTCTGTGACACCTCAAACTTCCACCCAACAAAACCCACAGAAACTCAGTGCGCTTAGGACTTTGCCGAAACCTCGAGGCGCTGCAAAGTGCGGATTGAGATTGTACCTTATGGCAAGCTATAGAGCTGTCAGCTGAATTCATTCGTGTCGCTAAACTGCATGGTATAAGTATGCAAGGTACAATAGCGCCGCATTAGGCGCTGTCCCTGGGTCTCTCACCAATCGGCCACTTGAACTTCCAGCTCGTCACAGCTCTGCAAACGCCGAGAGCCGCTGGAAACTTCCCTGAAAGCTGCCGCGAGCTGCGCAACTGTGAATCTGCGACTGTTAAAAATATTGCCTCATGTGTTTGCAAACGTTGGCTTGTCCACAGAGAGTTTCAAAACGCCTAAAGGATCCCTGCAACATTGTAGTCACAGGTGCGCTGGCGCGCTCTTCATTCCCGGGTTGGCACCTTGGGACGAACAGACCGGGCAGCTCAGCGTCGCCTCAGAGCCAGTGATTTTGATCTCTCTTTGCACTGCCCAAGGGTGTTGAAGAGGCGTTGATCATTTAGTATTGGTAGAGCCTAATCGGTTCAATTTCGCTGGAGCTTTTGGGGTCGCTGTTCTTGCCAAAAGTTTGAGCTGCACTGCTGCGATGAAGCACCAATCTTAGATTGGCCGTGCCTCCGGACCTGTCAGTCTTGTGAAATAGGCTGCAAATGTTTAATGGGATGGTAATGGTGTGTGTGTTTTGTTTTGTTTTTGGTTTGGGGGGTGGTTTTAGTCTTCTCCCTTTTAGTTACGTTTAAAAATATATATATTATATAATTGATTTTGACTTTGTTTATAGTTAATTGTTTGTTTAAAGTTGTCCTTTAACTTTGTTTGGAGAATGCCTTTTGTTTCATGTTAAATGTCCCTTTGTTTTTTGTTTATATAAGTCCTGTTGGTTTCTCTTTACTTTCTTAAATACCTTTCCCGTTGAATGTCCTTGTGAACTTTAAATCTAAATTTGTTCTAGATGTAATCTTAAACTTCCTGTTGAATTGCGTTTGTTTTTGATGTCCTTTCAAAAATCCTTTGAAATTTACAGTTAAATTTCCTTAAAATGAAATTTATATACAGTTAAATTTCCTTGAAATGTCCTTTCAAATATTACAATATGTTTCAATTGTCCTTATACTGTTCTTTTAAAACTTACTATGGAATGTCGGAATGTCCTTTTTATTGTCAATCCTTGGATAATTCCAGATTTGTATTTCCCTTTGACTTTTCCTTAATATTCTTTCAATTGTCCTTCTAAACTTCCTTGCATTCTTCCTTCCTTCTTTCCTTGCTTCCTTCCTTCCTTTCTTCCCAGCTAGAAGCCACAAAAGCCACAGAAACGCCGGTCCCCTTCCTTCCTCCCTTCCTTCGTTCCTCCCTTCCTTCCTCCCTTCCTGCCTTCCTTCGTCCCTTCCTTCCCACAGCTAAGTCCAAAGAAAAGCATGTCCCACTTAAAAAATATCCTACTAAAATATATCCTCCCTTGTGAAAAGCTCCTATGGACGACATTTTGCACGCAACGCCCTTCGATGGCCTGGAAACTCCTCTGCAAGGCGGCGAAACGGCAACCTTTCAACTTTCTGAACAGCGCGCTCCGGAAAAGGCTTTGGGTTCTCGATGCAGATGCCCCGCCATAGCTACTGGCTCAGGCGTCAACAGCCTGCCTTGCCAAGCTCCAAGATAGAACCCAAAACTTTGAAAGAAATCACTGGCACGTTGCAGCGACTCAACGCGCAAACTATGAAAACACAAACACCCTGCAGCGCCAAAGATTGGAAAGACACTGCTGGCACGGTCGGAAGGAGGTACCCACGCCGCCTAGGGCCTAGACCATGGGGCTGATGCATGACGGTTCTGAAACAAGAGAAAAATCACAAGTTCTCAAGGACGTGCGGAACGGTCCAAAATGCAGGCCGAAACAGCGATGTCTGGATCAGGTGTTGTGTCGGCGCAGATGATCCTGGGAAGAGTGTGCCAATCTCACATGCATCAAGATGGGATTAAGCACCCTGTTGGTCGAGATTGCGCAACTCGTGCCATGGTGTCTTGTGGGAAGCCATTGCTTGAGTCGAGCTGGGAGCACACTGTTTCAGACCCGGCATTCCTGAGCCAAGTGCATGCTTGCCCACACCAAATTGCCGCGCTTTGCGTGCTGGCCGGCTGGTGTGGCTTAACGGCTCAGACTTCCTACAGCTGCAGTGCCAGCGGCAATGTGCCCACTTCCTATGCTGATTTTGCAACAAATGCTTACGATCTTCACGGCGCTGGCAGGGGAGGCATTAAAAAGGCAAACAAGGGCCACAAGAAAAGGTAGCGATCGAGAAACGCCAAAACCCAAGAAAGGAAGACATACAGAAAGGCAAGAACATAATAGACGACCAAAAACAACAAAAGCAGGAAAGAAAACACAAAGAAGCGAAGAAAAAAAGGGTAGGGAGCGACAGTGCAAAAAGCAAACACGGAACCAGGAAAACTGAACAAATACAAAGAAAGCAAGGCAGAGTGGGCACACCACAAGCAGCAATTCCATATCACAATACGAAGACTCACAGCCATTGCCCCTGTGGAGTGCATGCGACGGTGTGTCTTTTCCTTACTCATTGCAGCAATCCAGAGAATTTCCGCAAGAGTCAAAGGTTTCAAAATGCTTCAGCGGGCCTTCGTGATGACATACCACGGCGTTGGACAACACTTGAAGGATGAACTAACCTGACCTTCAAGCCAGGGTAGCAGCTGTCTACCACGGAGCTTGTGGCATCCGATCCCACACAGCCAATATGGGATTGACAGTTGTGCTGCAAATCCGTGTCATAGCAGTTGGGGCCTGCAAACGTTTTGGCTGGCCACCCACCCTGCATACTTTTCACTGCCGGAATGGCACCAATCCGCACCCTGTGGAAACTGGCTCCAAGCAGCACAAGTTGCCCCGTGGATCACGTTTGGCTTTGCATGCGCAACAATAAGAAATGCTATCATGGCTGGCGGCTGACAGTAGTTCCCTGCCCTGCTACGGATCTGCACCGCCAGGGCAGCACATTATTACGCTTTGCATTCTAAGCTCCGCTGCCGGGTGCTGCCTTGGGTGACACTCATTGATAAGTCCGCACGCCCACAGAAACCAAGTCTTGACGGGCTGCCTCAGTGAACCTGCACGCTTTTCGCAGTGCGAAAGGTACGTACAAGTCATGGCAGCATGGGTTGTAACACACTATGAGGTATCTCATCTCACTCTGCTTGGAAGTGTTGCAGCATCTCGTGCTTGAAGAACCCATCTGTCCGCTTCCTCCCGCTAAATAGTTGGACAACACGCCAGCACAAACCCCCCATCATTTCATCATTCACATCAAGCTTCATCCAATGAGACTGGAGGCAACTTGTCAGTCTCCAATTCAGCTGGCAACCCTTATCAAAATGGCACACCCTGCTCACAATGCATGTGTGTCACAGTGCAATGTTACGAAAGCCTTGATGCGCATGCCTATTACCAAAAAAATGGAAACATATGGCTCGCTACAACACTATTCAGCACACACCTGGACTCTGGACTGAGCTTTTGGCTTCCACTTCTAACCTTGCAGGGCAGAAGAACTGATGACTAAAAGGGATGTGCGCGCGGGGGTTTGTTCCTGTCGTTGATGCTCACAAAAACTGATTTCTTCTGCTATAGAACTGCAGTTGTGAGGGCAACCCGCCTGGCCTTTGCCAACATCATGTCCGCTCGGACGGTGAGGTCTGGGGGCGTACGCAACCACAGTTCCTTGAAAAAGAATGGGCAGTCCCACAGCACAGCATCCCGACCATGCCAAGGCCATGGTCATCTCAACAACAAAACTTAGCTGCGGTCCCTTCCGATTGGCAACCTCAGTTTGAATGCCAAACCTTGTGGCTACCGACACCTCAATCTATCAAGCCAAGTTGCGATGGCAAGGATAGAGCTCCAAGGCTATCAACCAAAGCCCGCATCTGACAAATGATCGGTGCAAACTGTCGCTTAGCTCTTTCGTAGTGCTCACTCCGCCTCCTGTGGCAAATTCCGGTCTACATTCATTGTGCCTTGAATTGCAGACCTCAGGAGATCTGTAGGTTTTAGACCTGAAGCTTTGTGCGTTGGTTTGAGGCACTAAGACCTGCACTGCAAAGCCACCAGAGAGCTCCAAACCTTCACAACTCACCAACAAGAGGATACTGGCATGAATCATGCGGCACGATGATGTCTGCACCATATTGCACCGCATAAAAGGCCAAAAGACCATGAACAGGGAAGTGACCGCCATGTACCCAACACATCCCAACTTGCAGTCTATGAATGCTCTGCAGCGTTTTTGTTGATTGCTTGGCTGCCTGGTGAGCGGCGAACCCATCCAAACCTCTCGCAGAACCCAATGCCTGCCAAAGCTTATTGGCCGACTGCACTTCTGACACTTCTGGCGCTCACAAAGCTCATCAAAAATCGAGAAGCCAAAGGAGCGTCTGGCAGTTTGCAATGATCTGTATATGTTCTGAGGTAAGCCTGTTCAGCAAGCATAGCTTGTTGCGCAGTGGTCAGCGCTCTGGAGATGGACACCAGAAACTGACAGCACGGAATTAAACAATCCAGGCAAGCAAACTGAAGGATTGCAATGCTCATGGCCCCGTAAAAGCAATCCTTTGCTTGCAAAGGTCCGGCTTAAATTGATTTAACATGATTTAACTTGATTCAAAAACTGTCAACAAGTGTCTGCCTCCGGCAAGACTTGGATACGGGACACATTCACGAACCTGACAACTTTTCAAAACTAAACATGCTTTCAAACATGCTCAAGGGTTTACCCACACTCTCTCCGCTACACACCACTACCCAGTTCTAAACTAGGTGTGCGCTGAGGATAATTGCATCATAATATTACATCCACAGCCACAGCTGAGGACTTCACACTGGTTCTGGAGGCTCCACAAGTTCCTCTGTTAGGTTCTCATCTTCGCTTCTATTGCCTGAAGCCAGCTGGACGCGATGCTGCTTGATGCTGTTGAATTGCGCTGATACACCTGGATTTAAGCTGTCTCCAAAAATGCTGGTCACATCAACCTCGGATACCAACCAAGAAACCCAATGAAGCTCGTCTGATGAAATCCACTGGCTCGGGTTGTTTGTCTTGAGCTGAGCACCGTCTCGATTGAAGGCTCGAAAGCAACTTGTATCATACCCTCTAGTGCTGCACCCATCTTGCCGAGGGTGTCCTGGCTTGCTGGACAATGTGCACTTGTGGGACTGTGAGGAATCCGAGCAATCCTACTGTGTAACCCATAGGAACAAAGTCCACAAAACGGTGAACTCATGCCAAGCATACACCATCGCGAACAAAAGGTGCTGCTGCATTCAGCGCCCTCAGCGCCTAAGCTAGAACAATGAAAGAAAAGGAAGGTTGCACCAGGTCACCTGAACTTCTCTGGCATGTTGACTGCGAGCTCTAGATCTGAGCCTGACACAGGGCGCACCACCTGAAACGCAAAACTCATGACGAGTGATGACGAGAGAGGATGTGGACGGCATGGGTTCTCCCTGAAATGGTTCTGCAGGCACCTCTGCGGAAGGAATCTGGTCACACGTCACAGTGCCAAAGAAGTCGGTGCCTTGCAGCTGGCTGTAGAATTGTATGTAAATTGATGCCAAGTATAAAACAAAATCCATATCCTGGCAAAAAGTGCCTCAAAAACATCCAGAATTCAAGAACAAAGCTGTCTGGCCACAAATTCATATGGCACGCACACCTATTCATGGGTCGAGCACATTTGGGGTAATGGCAAGGGCATGCAAGGGCTCTGATTGCGAAGTCAGGCTTCGGTAGATCAAGTGATTCAATTCTACGCATGACACCTGGCTTGGGCTCCCAGCTGCAAGTCTTGATTTTGACTGCGGGATCCGCTATAATCGAGATCGCCCTTACAGCCTCCACCGCATTGGTAACTGCAAAGCAGCTGCTTCAACTCAAGAGTGGACCCAATCTTCGCAATACCCGCCTGCAACAACTGAGTCCTGGCAGCTTACAAGATCTACAGTCCTCCCGCCCTATGTTTCAATGTCAGCAACTCGTCGGGAAAGAGTAACTAAGGACCGCTCACTTCATTGGTCACCTCAACCCTGGCAAGCACAGCCTCGGGCAAAAGAAGGTCAGGGCAGCCTCCTTGACTGGAGGTACAAACATCATGAATCATCATGAAGCATCGAAACATCGATATTTGCAATCTGCAAGACAATGAGACTCAGAAACATCACCGATTGTTTCTCGATTCGGGCATGTCGTTCATTTGGTCATTTGGCAATTTAGGTAGGCAGCACTGTTCTCTTGCCTGCCTGCGGAGGCACTATGCTAGCACAGCGGCCCCGGACAAACTCGACGACATTCTGCCGCTACGCGACCCCAGACTTTTGAGATCACTTCAGGATACGCCCACTCCGAACCCTCGACACTTCTTGTGATTTGGCATGAGCAGCGGCAAAGGTGGATGTGCGTGTGCCCTTGAGGCCCTTGGGGCGCTCTGGGCCCTTGGGGCGTTGACTCTCAGTATCATAGCCCGTTGACTTTGTCTCAGCTTCGTCAGCCGAGTTGCTGCCAAGGATTAGCCCAGCCCCAAGCCCAACCAGCAGCCCAGTGGTCAGGGACCCCAAAGAAAAGTCGGACTCCTGAGATTCTATGGGCACTTGAACCACTTGTCTTCTATAATCAATTCTACGAGGCCTTCCTGGTGTGATACTTTGCACCACCAGGCTCAACACAATTCCACCTGCAGAGCCGATGGCCACTGCACGTATTCTCTTTGACATTTTCTCCTCAGATTTGTCTTCTCCCGTTGTCTTTTCTTTAGCGCGTTCAGCGCGTTCGGCTGGGGGATCCCACAAAGAAGGCTGCAAATCCCGTGGTGGACCCACAAAGGCATCTGACATAGAAACCATTGCCATGATAAGCAGCCGATGTCGCGAAGCCAAACACATCGCGAGTGCAGCAAGTAGGAAAAGGCCAAGCATCGAAACCGATGTACTCACAAGACCTGCCAAGAGTGATGTTCCACTCATGCCACTGATGTTGTATGTCAACCACGGCCAGCTGCCGAGGACATCTCTCCGTGCACGTTGAACAACACATGGCCATAATTGCGCACAGCTGAGGGCCAACGCCAAGAGCATCAATCGCATCCAAAGGCGCTTGCACCAAGCCATGGCTTAGACCGGCCAGGCACGCTTGCCAGGAGCGTGAAATTTGCCAATTGATCGTGGTGCTGTGGGATATCTTGAATGCCTCAATCTTCAATGTGTCTTCAGTGTAAAGTGTAAACTCATGCAAATTCAAGTTTCCCTTTCAGCGTCTTGCTGCAGCTTGAGCAACACATAGCATAACAAGAATCATCCAAACTGTGGAGCAAACAGCTTGATTCGAGAAGAAGGATAGTCGGATAGTTCTAGTCTCTCGCCTCTCGCCACACTTTGGGTCTTCATGCGAATTGCCCGCAGCTTCACGGGAAAGGAAAATAATGTGAGCTAGCGAACAGCAACAAGTGGGCTAGTGGCCCTTGGGCAGGCAAGGCCTGGAAATTGATCAATTCGAAAAATTACTGCTGAGCCTTCAGAGGCGTCTGGCAGCCTTTGAGAACGATTGTATGGCACTTTGCTGGCGCATCAGTACTTGAAGGCCGTTCCTGGTGGAGGGCTCTAAAGTATATCCATCCCGTCTATAACCCCAATACCCGCCGAACATGGTGATGTGATTCGCGTGCAGCAACCAAGGGTCTAATCTCACCCCACTCGTCACCTCCCTTCGGCTTGTACTGCGACTCCATGTCTATAGAAATGCCTAACCACGTCGGCGTGCTCCAAACGAACTTGATTTTACATGAACGTACATCTTCAACAGCAGTCAAAATAAGCATGATGGCGGACTCATAATGGCACTGAGAAAACGTTCTGTAACTGCGCTGCTGTACCGGGCCTAGGCTTTTGCTGAGTCTGATTCTGATCTGACCATGCTCGGCCAGGTCGGCTGTGAGCCATCGGTTGGTGGGATCATCGTCATCTTCTGGTTCCAGAAAGCCTGCGGTTGCAAGATCTGGACAATACAAGTGGCACCCCCGCCGCTGTACAATTTAGATATTGAATTCAAAAAATGTGTTCATATGAACGCTACTAGGAGCAAAGGGTTCGCTACTAGGAACAAGGACGCTACTAGGAGCTTTTTCGCGCGGAGACCTGCGCGTCTATGCCTCTATGATGCGGAATCTCGCTGATCTCCGACGCGCCTGGCCTGTCACCTCATTTTCAACCTCAGCTGCATCAAAGAGTGTCAGACACGACTCCACCAGCAGCAGCTGTTCACGCCATTCATCTTGAACAGCTCACATTGCAAATGAATGGATCAAGCCACGTAGATCAGACGGTCTTGCTTGTCTCTGGTGACCTGCATTCTTTTTGGCTGGCCCGGGTGAGCAAATTAAATTGCTAAGTGTTCAAGCTCAACCGCGATCCATCTGCCAGGTCTACGGACCATGTATTTGCCAGCATTGTACTGCCATTTGCCAAGGTGAGGGTTCATGAACTTCCTCAGGTCCACAGTTTTTGTCTCGCTGCACTTGCTCTTGACTCCTGTGACATACCATCATATTGAAATCTAATGACTGGCGGGCTGCTCATATATCTCTGGGCAAGGCCGCAACCGCAGAGGCTCCGTGTTGTCCCAGGATTCTCCAGGCTTCCACTTGGATCAAAGCGCTGGCTTCAAGAGATGATCTGGAGGCCATTGCTTTTAGATTGGAGGCCATCGCTATTAGGTTGGAGGCCATTGCAGGTTAAGGCCATCATGCAGGCATCTCATGGCATTCCCAGTCTGAGTGGTATGATCCGACAGGGAGGCTAACAGTACTGGGGCAACTGCACAAGCTAAATCTCACCTCCTGACCTGTTCTTAGCACACGCATGCTAAAGCTATTTTCTAACGATATGGCTATGGGTCAAAACCACGGGGCCTTGGTTGACCACAGAAAATGAACAGAATAGACTATTGGGAGGTCAACCTAGCCCGGTTTAGGGCTTGGGGTTTTGACCCATAGCCATGTTGCGACGGGCTCTCCCTCTCTCCCTATATCTGATTTTAACGAGCCACCTCATTGCCTCCAGAAAAGGCCTCAGACCAATAAAACTTTGTCAAAGCTTCAGCATGCCAAATGTTCGTAGAAATCAGGATCTATAAACAAGATTCTGCCAGAGTAGCACATCTGTCTAGCAGGATGCACACCTACATGAATCTGCATGAAACTTATTTGGATCGCTCATAGCAAGGCAAGATGCTGACATGACGCCACCAACTTGCTCCACGAAGTCGGCGGTGGCCGACTGAACAGCAGGCAGAATCGAAAGAGGGTCACGTCAAGGTGCAACATGCTCGCATCACATTCGAGATGCTCGTGGTGGAAATGAAAACACATGTGCGCCGAGCATTTCCATGTTTTTCCTTTGTGCGTATCTCGCAAGGTCTATGTTGCGCGTAGCAATGTGTGGCATCTTAAAGCTCGGACTTCTCCTTGAAGTCAAGCTGAGCCTCCTTGGGAAGCCACGACAGAGTTGCGCTGGACTTCTTCTCTTCCAACTTGGCTTTCAGCTGCTTGCGGCATTTGGTCCATACCGCTGGAGTGCATGCAGAGAGCTCTTTGACATTCAAGCTAGGCATTTTGGATGAAAGTGCCAAGGTAGAACCGCAATGCAACATCACTTCCAAAATGCCACTGATGGCTTCATCAAGCTGAACCTTCTCGATGGCCTGCTTCAGCCAATTTCGAAGACCTGCATTCTCTGTGATCCCTGGCAACTCATCCACAGTGGAAGGTGTATAGCAATAGGCCAGCCGATACTGCCGGAATTGCGGTCTCCAAACGTTGTTGTCGGTCAATGCCGAGAGAGTCTGCTTGCCTTTCAAAATGGTCTCATAGTATGAGAAGGAGTCTGCCAAAGCCAAGGAGACTCGGAACCACCCAGAGGGGACGATGATCAAATCCCCTGGCCCCTGGTTCGCCTCTACGAACTTCTTCAAGCCAAACTCCTCTCGCAGCTCTGGAAGCTTTTCCTCAAAGAACATGTAGGCAGAAGTCTTGTCAAATTCTAAGGCCTCCCGTGCCTTTTGGGCTACTCGCTCCATTTCATCTTCTTGCAAAAGCAACCATCTTTTGGACCCATGCACAAGCACATCGAAGAAGGGCAAGCCATTCTCAGGTCTAAGATTGGCACCTGAACCCGACGGTCCAAAGGTGAAGTACTGATATGACAAACGTCCATTGTTCCGCTTCCATCTCTCCGCACCTTTGGGGATGATGGACTTCAGCTCATCACCTGCAGCTTCCAAGAGCTTCTGTCGGAATTCGGCCATGTGTGGCAAGGCATTCTCAATTTGCCGAAAAATGCGGAGCTGCTCCAGCTCCGAGACATTTCGAACCATGCTCTGTGCATCCACTGTTTGTTCACAATGCTCTGTGTTCTGACCTGGCAGCTTTGGCTTGGCAGGTGTCCCATGGAAGCAATTGATGACATAGCGGGAGAATGGAATCATCTCAGGCTCTTCCATGTGCAGCTGATTACCTACGAGCCTTGCACGGGCCTTGTCTTGTGGCCAATACTCGAGTCGAAACTCCTTCTCCAAGTGTGCATCTTCCATGAGACGTGATGCTGTCCAATGGCGGCGCACCTCATCCCACGCCCCAGGATTGAAGAGTGTGGTGGCATTGGTGATGAGCATTGGTTCCTTAAAGTTGATGTCCTTACCTTCCTCTAAGCGCTTGGCCAAATCGGCGGCTGTCATCTTTTTCACTGTAATCTTCTTGGCATTCAATTTTGGCATTGCTTTCACTCGATACTTGGGAGGAGTGAAATCCTTGGGCACTTCAGTGGATTTCTTCTCCTCAACCACTTTCGCGGTCTCTATGACTTTCTGCACTTGATTCACCATGTTCTCTAGAAATCTCTGGACATTGCCCTCGTATTTCATTTGCTTGGCATGGCTCAGCAGCTGTTGTATCTGCTCATTTGTCTTGGCTTTGTCATCGCTCTTCTCAATTGTAAGCGTTGCGGAAAGCTTCAAGGTGGATTGGCCTTGTGCGACTGATGCGAGAAGCCAACCCAAGACCAAGGGCATTGCCATGCGCACAAAATGTCCCATGCTTCTGGGAGCAGAGCCAAAGGCGCTGGCTCAGCTCCCCTAGAGGGCACTGGCTTCATCAGCCGCTGCTTTGATCCGAAATATTGGTTGAGCAGCCCAGCATGAACACGAATTGTAAGCTACAATTACAATAGAAACCACAGCCAATGGAATAGCAATGTCTGCTGCACCTTGCTTGGCAAAGCTGAAGCCGTTGTGGTTTCTATGCACCTTTGCTAGCAAGGAAATCTGAATCGAAATACTGGAACCTGACAAGCTGGTGCCCTGGAGCATCTAGCCAAGCATCAATTGGTAAATGTCGCCAGTCATGTCATTGACGTGCCAGCAGCTTCCACAAAGGCCATCTTCACAGCGGTAGATCACATCATGGCCTGCACTTTGCGAGCGCAAACAGGCAGCCTGCATGCTTCTCAAGCATTCAAGCGCTGGCAGCTAGGTAGCACAAGTGATGAGTTTGCCTGCAACCCTGGCTGCATCTTGCAATTTGGAACTGCCACGCACCACCACCGGATCTGCAGGCTCAGGGAAAACTACCTGCCAATTCAGATGAGACGTCACGCCACAGGAGCACATGATGCACATGGATGGAACCGCTCGTGCGCCTGTACCGGTCCTCGGGCTTGGCGAGAAAACTTTAGGATTGCCTTGGCTGCATCCGGCACAGCATGGATTTTGCGGATTCCAGGTTGCCCTCCTTAACATCAGCCTGAAGAGACCAAAGGCTGAACTCACCAGCGAAGTCATTTTATAGTATGATAACTTCTCACTCAATCCAGGTCGGAAGGCTCTCTCGCCCTCTTTCAACTTGGAGACAATCTCCACCTGCCCATCGTGAAGAACAAAATTATGACATCATATAACTTACATGAAACCGCCTTCTCACTTAAGCATGGTCATCGCGAAAGGAAATGCATCCGATATGCACTTGTCAACTTGTCAACACTGCCGCGGCACCACGTCTTCTGTTGTTTTTGTCTTCACCCCGTTGACCGTCAGAATCCTGCACTGCAGACTACAGGCCACAACTAAACTAATTGAGTTGAATCTGAGATCTGAAGGCTGGGGTGAGCACCTGTCGCCCGGCTGTATCCATATTCTCTTCTCGGCCGCATCCTGTAAAGCAGAGTGGACACATTGCCGGAAGCTATTGGACAAACTGCAGAAACTGCAGTAGAGGCTTGGTGGCCTCCTGCAAGCAGCCTTGGTTGTACTCAAAGGCACTGCCGCCCTCCATTACTTCAGACACCCCGACAGCTTCTCCGTCGAAGCTCCTAAGTACTCACCAAGTTTCTCTTGAAAAGATTTTCGGCAAGGATGTTAGGCTGAATCAAGGCGGAGGAGAGAAAAGCTGGACAAATCACCAGCCTGCTTTAGAAGAACCATATCACGCATTCATCATGTATTGAATTGAAATTTGATGAAATTTGCTCTACGGCCATGCATGTTTATTTGATTGATATTTTGCACTTTTCAAGTTTGTGTTTGCCAAAAAAGTGTTGCTCCACCAACACGTCTTGAAGCTCAGGCAATGCTTCGTATCCAAGGCCAAGCCAAGCGGAGTGTTGAGCTTCGCGTCGAACCACACCTCGTTCCCCACGCGCTTCCCGTTGCGAGGCTTCGGACGAGTGCGCATCTTCTCGTAGTCTTGCCTAAGCACGGAATCGGAACATTTCGAAACTGTATAATTTCAACATAGATTTAAAAGCATGACAATTTGCTGTGAAGAAAAACATCTTACTGTCACGCATGCGAGCTGAAGAATGAGGTGCCTCATCTCTTTGAACTCTTCGAAGGTCTTTTCGGCCTCGGCCTTGGAGTCCTTGGAACTGAGGATCAGCCTGCTATCGGCCACATTGACCTTATGCAAAGCAGTGGTTGGAGATACATAAGAACAGCTTTTAGTGGAACATGTTAAATTTCGCAACCAATGTTGCCAAGCTGCATGGCCTGCATTCTGCACGCCTGCAGACCAAGAAGTTGCAGTAAGTTCTCTCTATCATCGGCTACATCTGCACATCTTGGAGCAGAATTCAACGGGCCCAAAGCCTGGTCGTCTCGACGAGCCGACCCATGAGGCTCCAAGTCCACTGAAGCACCTGGGTGCCCGACTGGGCTTCAGAGAAGTCACGCTTACACATACACACTCAGAGTAGCATATCATATTTGTATCTATCGTGCAACAATGTTAGTATTGATATTTGCATGCAGCATGCACATAAAATATGCTTTAAAATGCAGGCCTGCTAAGACATGCAGATGAGATGCAAAGATGATGCTGCAAGAACAGCAGCTCCACGCCATCTTCCGTGTCGAACCATTTTTAGCAAATAAGATTCTCCAACTTGAAAGTCAAAGGTCTCTTGTTGATGTCATGTGTGTCCGACATGAGCTGGTCCCTGTCAAGGATTTCTTTCATAGCCCATTTATTCTCTGAATCTATGGCTGCTAGCAGCTGCAGACAAACACACATTGGTCGGAAAAGACTGCCATGGCCTCTGCTAATGTAGCAGCTGCCGCTGCTGAGCTTCAAAATGACTGTTCTGAGCATTTGGCTGTCGCATCTGCTATACTGAAGTTGTGCTCAGCTTCCACCACTACAGGCATCGAAGATGCAGCCACAGAGATCTTGGTGCAGATTTGTGGAGGGTGAAAATGAGACAAGTACGGCCACTATATATTCATAGAATAGAAACAATAAGCTACTAGGAACAAGTGCATCGCTACTAGTAACAAGTGCCTTACTATTAGGAACAAGAAGCT